TGGTACGCGGGCCTCTCACTGTTGTGGCCTCTCCCGTTGTGGAGCACAGGCTCCGGACGCGCAGGCTCAGCGGCCATGGCTTATGGGCCCAGCCGCTCTGCGGCATGTGGGATCTTCCCGGACTGGAGCACGAACCCGTGTCCCCTGCATCGGCAGGCGGACTCTCAACCACTGCGCCACCAGGGAAGCCCTATTACTATTTTTAACAGACTAAAGACAATGTGATGAATAACATGAGGTAAATAAACAAATATCTGTTGCTTTGAAACTAGAAAGAAGATGTGGGGCAGATGTAGGAATTTTTATTATTTTTTTTACAACTTCATTAGTAATTATACTTAAGGTCTTAACAAGTACACAGCAGGCTCACTATATCAAATGTGTCATTTTTCACCTGTTTTTGTCTATTTCTAAAGAAGCTGTTTATCAAGGGAGCACACTACTTCTACCACTATAAGTTCCATGGAAACATCAGGAAAATAATCAATACATATATGTTTGTGATATAGAGTGGGATAGATTATGTTTCGTTGGTTATTAAATATCATATTAGCTAACCACTGCTAATGTTTGGTATACCAAAGCACTTAGCTAAAGATGATAATCCATTACCTAAATATTCACGAACAGTGGCATGGATGAGAAAAAGATACAAATTTTTAGGAAAGGGCATTTTAAAATCATGTTTTTGCTCTAGTAATATACATTTTATTGCACTAAATTGTAGATTTGTAATCAGGAAGAGTTATTAGACATATATAAAACTAGATAATAAAGATTGGATAAAAGACTAATTGTAAACTAGAAAGCAAAAATATTAGTTACATGTAGGGAGTATTTCAGTCATTTATAAATAAAGTCATTCAAAATATTAAAAAAACAAGTTCTGAGCTAAGGAGGTAATAATCATTTGACTCTGGAATTGTTCAGTCGTTTATTTCATTCCTCATGCTTATCCTTGTGCATTATATGTGTCAATATTATTTTCTGAAAAGCCCATTTATTGATAAAGATATATAAATATATCTTTTGAGAATAGATGTTGTCATTAAGTAAGGCAAATCACTATTGCAAACAAAACCTATATCCTGTGAAATGGAATTG